TTTCATGCGTAAACTACCTTGAGAATCCTTTCATAGCGTTAATTGATCTGACCATGGTTATCTAAGTTGAAACAATAAAACACTGGACGAACTGACACCCACTCTTCATGTACTGTCAAGACAGTGTGATATCAGGGTTCAAGGCTCAAGTAACTAATAGACCGAGACTGGCCGTGAAGCATTATATTTGGTCAAACGCAAAATACAAATCCCGATTAGTTGGTTGTCGATAACCTGCTCAGAGATTTCGAATAATCTCACATACGGAGGAAGGACCCGAAGATCTTTTCCTGTGATTGTAAACGCGTTAATTTTATATTACAGCGAATGAAAATTCATGTCTAATTAGAATAACACTGTACCACTGAATACAGTAATTTCATTAATACAGTAGCATTGCATCGCACATCACACTGTACACCATGGTATGGCGAAATGCGTATATAACGCGGTGCTATGTACTCATCGTTATACTGTGGGCGTTCTCAAAAACACCCAGTGTGTCTTGGTAAGCTTTCTTGGCACTGGGAATAAAAACGCTCATACGTTTTCTACCAAACGTTCTTCGAGTGGGAACAGATGGGTAACACGTGTTATTTACCCAATAACAGAAAGAAGTCTGTCATTTACATCGTTCAGTCAAAATGAAAACTTATTTGTATTCATTGTATGTTCCATGTGAACACATGCTTGCTTATGTACACCCGTTATATAAATCACTACAGTCCAGTCGTGTAACAGGCGAGTTTAAAAACGCATGGAGATATTTTTTTTAAATTTACTTTGAAAAAGTATACTTTAAATGTTAACTGGGGCTATTGTTGGCAGGTCTTCCCACGGACACACCGGGGTCAACTAGTTGAGATGATCCCTCCAGACAAAACGGCAGGACCTATACAAATCAGCATAATACAAGACTCGGCTTTACAGAGATTTCTCTTTAAAACCGAGTATTTTACTTGTTTTTTTTAACGTTTGTTGCTATATTATCAACACACATAAATGAAATGAACATGGACAAAATAATTTTGAAATTTTGAAAAAAAAGTGTTAGAAGTGTTTTTGTTAATTCACATCAGGTATGAGCTTGCAGTCCCCGTCTTTATATTTATGGTCGCTTGTATTGCTGAGAAAGATGGTAAATATAAATTAGCCCTATCGCGTAACGCCCGCCAAATTTGGCGTTATCAAAATAACAAATAGTATGACTGATTGAATATAAAATGGAATGAACCAATTGTAACAAATTAACATGTTTAAGCATTGTAGTTGCTATTTTATAGATAATACATGATTATTCAAGTTAGAACTAAAATATACAGTAACAGCATGGAATACAATTCTCGATGTACATGTATTCAACGGTTGTCCAATCAGAACGACATCAGGTGAATGAATGATGGGTAAAAGTTTGTTTAACCTCCAGGCATGACCCCATTCAATACTAAGTATGAGAGGTTCCAATGTCATTAATGTCTACTGTTTGTTTATTGTCGTTATTTGTTTTTAAGTTAGCGGGAAACGTACAACCCAACCACAGGTGAAATCGGAGACCATCGCGAAGGAAATACGTACTGTTACACTGTTTGATAATTACAACGAAAATAAGCAAGTTTATTCAATTATGTAACTGATCTGACACTTAAGATATTGTACAATAAATCCACAATCTCGCACATATACTGAACTCAACATATCGGCAATATAATTTGTGTTATTTGATGGTTACTATGGAATTTCTCTACTGTAATAGACGAGATTTAGAACTCTATTATGTCAAATACAACAGTCTGTGAATATCACATTAAAGCTACGTAAAGTCATGACCGCCCATTGAAATAATGTGATCATCTTTCTCATGCAAGTAAACAAGTTTTATCATTTGATTGAAAGAAAAATGTGCAATATGTCTTTGTATGCTAAATGATCACGGTGCAAGTGTTTGTGATAAAGCTATTTACGGACAGCGCGGGGTTGATCAGGTTGCTGCCTCCTGTCTTATTCTACTTTACATAGTTCCGTTATCCACGTGATTATGTTGACTACTAGTATAATGGTTTTGAGTACGGTCGGTGTTTTATATCTGACCTCTGGAAGCGGATAATTTCCTCTCGAAGCCACACTACTCAGTGTGACGTAGTATATCAAATAAGACAACACAATGCACCGAAGGAGTAATTCTACAGTACCCATAGTAATTAAATATCGAAATTTGAAGCGACGTTAGATTATAGCGACTGTCTACTGGACTTTACTAGTATGCCTAACCCCCGGAACAGTAACATGTGTTACTACACTTCTGTCTTGAACAGTGGCAGTAGTTACTGCACTGCAGTCGTGTTATGGCAATATTAATGCGTGATGTCATTTAATAATATGATAGTAGTCAACAAATCGATTTGAAATGTAATTCAAAGAATGACACAAGGGTGATAGATAGAATATTGTTACATACCAATACTTTATTGGCAGAAACGCCATAGTTTTACTCTGAAAGCATTATTCGTTGATATCAAGTCAACATTTTTTTATTAAAATTTAGACAGTTGGTGTTGGTTTGGTCTGGTTTAGTATGGTCACTGCATATTCTGAAAACCGACACACCAGTAATAGACCAATCCTGTTGTTCAAATGCTTGAGTAAACATTGACTAGTGCGTAATGGCGTCTACAGTTTGTTAAATTCGAATCCCAGCTACGTCTAGTGAATAAAATGAATTGAAACGAACGAATCGAGATTAATGTTACTCAATATCCGATTTTCATTTAATATTTGGGAATACGTCTGAGTGAATAAAGGGTTGACCATTTGAAATTATGAGGGTGGCTGAAAGATTTGTTGAAAAAATACAAGCTAGACACTGAAAGAGAACAAAATGCAGGCAAAATGTTGCAGGAATAATTGTTGGCAAAATTCAAGACAAATAAAAAAATGTACAGACAAGACATCGCGAGAAAATGATAAAAACACGAGAAATACTGCGAAAATCATAATTCTATAATAATAATTAAAAATTATTCAGAACGAATTGACTACTCCTCACATTCTATAAATGAATGAATCGCACTGCCATCTTTTTCAGTTTAACCAAACATCAACTGATTGCAATATATAAGTGCCAGCGTATTTTCCACTTGGTCATTCGTTTTAATTAAGAACGACAATGTGTTCATGATTCTAAGGACTACACACATCGAAGTACACCAACATAACATGGAATGAATGAAGGTTACTTTGAAGACGACGAATGTATGAAAGTGTCGAGATTAGAGCTAATACCGAAGCAAGTAAAGGTTCAGTACTAAATGGTGTCCAATTAATTAATTGAGGATTGCTATTTTGACCTCTCACACTCTTTAAGTATGTGTATTTCTCTGAGACATTGTACATATCACACTGCTTGTGCTTGTAAGTGCCATCCCATATATTACATTGAGAGACTCTAGACCTGTGGCCACTATGCTATGCCTCGGCACTAGTACTAGTATTACATAAGAGTAGGGATTGCTTTAGCATATTCGTGTAAGTCCCAGCGAGAAAATTAATTGGAAATTCCAATATAATTGTTGTACTTATGTGGAGGCCCTTAATCATTTTGGGGGTCGGTAAGCAAAATATGGGGTTGACACAATCCATTCGAACGAGGGACATACATGTAATACTAACTCATTTTGAAAATGAAATTCGTTTTTATGGAAAATTACAAACGGTTGAACCCTTACAACAAACGTTTTTTTCAAAACTGTGATCAGTGTGATTGAAACACATTTCCAGCGAGCACTGGTATTGTTGACAACTTTTAAAGAGTTTGGTTCTATATGAATACTAACTTAAATACGTTCAATCTCGGGAAATTTATTATAATTTACACTTGCACAATTCCTCATAATGAAAGATTATTATTATCGAATTGCACTTGGTTTATTTTATATAGAGGGTAAGTTGCTGATAGAACACTGTATGTCAATATCAAGATGGTGTCCATGTTCTGTTTATGTTTTGAAATCTTCTAACTAACGAAATCTTAGACGGAAAACCTGTTATATGTTTTAATTCGAATCCACACGCCAAGTAAACATGGAGTTTAATTTAGTGTTCTCGTTTGACCTAGAATAGGCACGACACAATGACAACAGTATGGACTGAGTGCGGTGTGTCCAAGATGGCGGACACGGCGTGGTTATAATTTCTGTCAAGGGGTCCAAGTTTAGCGTAAGTTGCATGTTATTTCGTTCAAGTTAAGCAATATAAAGTATCCCTTTTCTAAGTTTACAAACTTTATGTTACATACGATGTTCAAACTAGAATAACTAGACATACTATACTAGACATAGATTAACGATTATATTTATCATGATCCGATCCACAATGGTGATTTGAACGAATTACAGGTTTATTACCTAAAATACGTAATGTTTAAGTATATGTAGAATATTCACATGGTTTCGATAAACGAAATATGCGTATATTGTAATGAAGTATTCGTTATTTTAAGACTAAAGCAAAAATGTGGTCAAAGACTGCCTGTGTCGAGATCCGATAAGTATTTAGTAGTTTTAAAATTCGTCTTTTCAGGCTCAGACGGACAACTAAATACATAATTTTCACGTAAAAATGTTAAATTTGGTGTCTCGAATTTGTATCTAACAAATATATGGACTATATTTGTCACACTTCGACCGCGTGGATGCCATTTTGTATTCCAGATGACTGCGTTCACGTTTGTCTAGCACAGTCAACAAACCCGTCTAATATTGAGTAGAGCCAACATTATAACGGTGTCCGTTAACCATGTGACTCGATAGCATTAAAATAATAGAGAATTGATCTCCTACCGCCACGAGCATAATACTCAGTTTTAACACTATAAGTGAAGGATGATTGGCCGACATAATTCAATTACGTAATTTTTGTTCATGAATTTTAAACAGAGTTGATTGATTTACCAATAAATATAGATATAACAATGACATTTATATTGAAGTAAATATCGCACTCACCTTTCAACTAAAACACAAGACGAAAATGTCTTTCATGGCTGTTATTGTCAACAACTTGTGCATCACTCCGTCATTCAGGCGGTCTCCGTATTGGAGACGGAAAGTCGCATACTTTTACAAGAGAATACCACTATAAATCTGACCCATTCATTGAACCACTTGTCGGAACGCCATGAGCTGCAGTTAATTTTCTTTAAATTGTTGATGAAGTGGGACAGAATGAATGAGTTGTAAAACCGGCATAAAGTGCAGTGTTTATTGATATGCAGACATGCGTATAGAAGAGACATCAAATGTGAAACCCTATAAAGCCGATTGGTTCCGAGGGCGTACGAGATTGACCGATTTTAATCCCACTTTATCCCTCTCTGTCTTCTATCCAATAACAAGCGTGCTAATACGTTGTCGGGACAACAATCTGTCACGTGTGATTGAAATATGTGTTATTTATGGTTCACGGTTTGTAGCTCTGTGGGAGTATATTTTCCATGCTTTTACGGTATTTGTGTCGATGGTTCAAGTGTTTCACAATGTAACATGGTACAGGCACTCCAATTTTCAAAATGTCACAGCGAAACATGAATAGAGAAGTGATATCGGAGATTGACATCAAGGTATCGGGTTGCTTAACGAGTTAACTGGTGACACTCACGTTTCGTGTTAGCACAAATTATACTATTATACGTAAACAAGACAAACTTTTCTAAATACTCATTAATTAATATAGAATTCGGGGGCCCGGGCCTCCAGTACACCTGTAGATAAATCAATATGACTGATTCATGAAATAAAACAGAAATGTCAGCCAGAAATGTCTTGGTGTTTGAAAATTCATTCCCGTAGTTATGGCGAAGAAAGTTAGATTTATCGCTGAGGGCGGCATACACACACCAGACGACTT